CAAGGATTCTGAAACTAGGGAAAACAGAAGAAAGAATAAGCAAAAAAAGAAAAATTTAGGGTGTTTATGAGTTTGGTTTACTTCCTATGTTGTTTTGGCAGAAACAAGCATTTGCGAATCAGAAAATGGCCTTGAGAAATGAACGCCAAGCTCAGCAGAACCAGCAGCAAGCAGCTAGAAATGAGAACCAAGTTCACAACATTCCTCAGCACCAGCCACAAGCTCCACGGCGTCAAGAGCCTCCTCAAGTGTTTGTGGGAGAGAATGACCGAGCCAATGCACACCAATATAGGGCTAGCATTCAAGCTCCTACAGTTCAGAATAATAATTTTGAGGTGAAGGCTTCTTTGCTCAACATGGTTCAGAACTCTAAGTTCCATGGTCTGCCAATGGAAGATCCACTAGAGCATTTGGATCAATTTGATAGAGTTTGTGTTCTGACAAAGATAAATGGCGTTTCTGAGGACAGTTTCAAGCTTAGATTATTTCCCTTCAGTTTAGGAGACAATGCACATCAGTGTGAAAAGAATCTAACTAGAGGATCCATTCAAACTTGGGAGCAGTGTAAACTTGCATTCTTGTCTAAGTTCTTATCTGCCTCAAGGACTGCTAAGCTGAGAAACCAGATATCAAACTTTACCCAGAACAACAATGAAAGCTTTGGAGAAGCTTGGGAGAGGTTTAGGAGTTACACAAATCAGTGTCCACATCATGGCTTTTCAGAGGCTTCACTCTTGAGTACATTTTATAGAGGAGCACTCCGAAAGATCAGAAACCAGTTAGATACATCCTCAAATGGGAATTTCTCGGGGAAGGAGATAAATCCTGCCTTGGAACTAGTGGAGAATCTAGCCATGAGTAATGATATTTATGGGGAAGACTTTTACATAGCAAATAGAAGTGAGGGTCCAGCAAAGAGCTGAGGATGGAGAAAGACATTAGAGAGCTTCAGAGCAAGCTTGACAAAGTGTTAGTGGCATCTCAGAAGCCACTACAATTTGTTGGAGAATTTGATGATCAATCCTCAAGCTTTGAAAATGTTAAGGAAGAAGGCCTCACTCAGGAGGAGATAAACTACATTGGGAATCAGAATTGGTATCAGAGGTTCAACAACTTCAAAACAAACCAAAACATCTCCTATAAAAACCCTAATGTAGCTAACCCTCAAGATCAAGTTTATCCTCCTCCTCAAGGTCAGCAGAGTTTTGTTCCAAAAATAACTATCAAGGGAACTTTAAACCTAACCAACAGTTTGCTCAGAAACAACAAAGATATGGACAGCCACAGCAACAGATTCAGGGGAGCAACTTCACTAGCCAGCCTCAACAACAGAAATATCTACCAGGGTTTGGACAGCAGCAGTTAGTTCAGCAGCCGCCGGTTCAGAATCAACAGATGGGGTCTGAGGTGTGTGGAGTGCTACAACAGCTTCTTTAGGGTCAGCAGTGGGTTGAAAGTGGCTTCTCTGATTTGGGTCCAAAGTATGCTGCAATGCAACAAGAGATAAGGGAGCTTAAACAGAACCAAGGGTCTCTACCTGGAAAACCTGAGCCAAACCCAAAGGAATATGCTCATGCCATCACTCTAAGAAGTGGCAAAGAACTACCAGATAGAGAACCTAAGCTAGTGCTCATTGAGGACAATGAGCAAGTTGGTGGGGAGGAAGCTCAAAAGAGTGAGCAAGAAGAAGAGATTGTGAAGAGTGACAAAGGCAAAGAGGTGGAACAAGAGATGGTGCCTGAGAAACCCTATGTTCCACCACCACCAAACCAACCTAAACTTCCATTTCCAGGGAGTATTAAGAAGCATATACTGGAGAAGGCAAGAGCTGTTTTTGAGAAACAACTAAAGGAGACAAACTTTACAGTTCCTATCATTGAAGCTTTCCTTATGATCCCACATCTTGGGAAGTTCTTAAAAGATGAAATCATGAATAGATCAAAGGATCTTCAAGGTATGGTTGTCTTAAGCCATGAAGTTAGTGCCATCATCCAAAGAAAGGCTATTCCGAGAAAACTTTCAGATCCAGGAAGTTTTACTCTACCATGTTCCATTGGTCATCTAATGTTTGATGGATGTCTTTGTGATCTTGGAGCTTCTGTGAGTCTCATGCCTTTCTCAGTGGCAAAAAGACTAGGATCCAGGGTCGTTAAACCAGCTAAGATCTCCTTGGTATTGGCTGACAGATCTGTAACCATAGGTCTTCTAGAAGATTTGCCTGTTAAGATATGTGGGTTTGAGGTTCTTACAGATTTTATAGTGCTGGATATAGATGAGGAACCAGTGGATCCACTCAATCTAGGAAGACCTTTTATGGCCACAGCTGGTGCCATTATTGATGTTAGAGGTGGTATAAAGGAGCTTCATATTGGACAAGAGACCTTGAAGTTTAACATCAAAGAAATGATGAAGAAGCCAACCATTGGTGGCCAAGTGTTTTACATTGAAACAATGGAGGAGCTAGCTGATGAGATTCTTGAGGAGTTGAACACTGAAGATCCTCTTAAAGTTTCTTTGACTAAATAGCATGGTGAGTATAGGTTCTTAGCTGAGGAAAGTGAGGGCTACAGGATGGTTTTGGATCAACACAAGGAAGTGGGTTAAGAATCAGAGTTTTTAGAGCTGGAAACAAGCGGCCTTGAGGTTCTAAGTATCAGGGGTTCAAGATCAAGTCATGGACCAGTTCAGGAGTGCAAGGCCGTGGGTTCACAAGCTTAGGAAAAGGCTGAGCCACCAATGGAGCTGCAGCTGAGTAAGACAGCTTCAATGCGGATTGGGATGAGTCCAAAGCGCCCCCTGTTGAGCTCAAACCTCTACCAACAGGGCTCAGGTATGCATTGTTGAATGAGTTAAGAAAGTATAGGAGAGCCATTGGTTATTCATTGGATGACATAAGGGGTATCTCACCCAACCTATGCACTCATGGGATTCACCTTGAAGAGGAATCTATGTGATCCATTGAACACAAAAGAAGGCTGAATCCTAACATAAAAGAAGTAGTTAAGAAAGAAATCCTAAAACTCCTTGAGGCAGGGATCATTTACCCATCTCTAACTCAAGATGGGTTTCACCAGTTCATGTGGTGCCCAAAAAGGGTGGGATGACAGTAATTAGAAATGAAAAGGATGAGCTGATTGCAACTCGAACTATAACTGGTCATCGCATGTGCATAGACTATAGGAAGCTTAACGCTGCTTCAAGAAATGATCACTTTCCTTTACCATTCATTGACCAAATGTTAGAAAGGTTAGCTAATCATCGCTTCTATTGTTTTCTTGATGGGTACTCTGGGTTCTTTCAGATACCAATAGACCCCAGAGATCAAGAGAAAACGACATTTACATGTCCATACGGCACATATGCATATGGTAGATTGCCCTTCGGCTAATGCAATGCACCTGCTACCTTTCAAAGGTGCATGATGCATATCTTCTCTGATCTAATTGAAGAGAAAGTAGAAGTATTCATGGATGATTTTTCAGTCTATGGATCATCCTTCTATGTTTGTTTGTATAATCTTTCTCAGGTTCTAAAGAGATGTGAGGAGACAAATTTGGTGCTGAACTGGGAGAAGTGCCATTTTATGGTGCAAGAAGGTATTGTTCTTGGGCACAAGGTATCTGAGGCAGGGATTGAGGTAGATAAGGCCAAGTTGGAGGTGATGGTTAACATGGAAGCTCCAAACTCGGTCAAAGGAATCAGAAGATTCTTAGGGCATGCCAGCTTTTATAGAAGATTTATCAAGGATTTTTCTAAGATAGCTAGGCCATTGACAAGGTTGCTATGCAAGGAAGTGGAGTTTGTGTTTGATGAGGAGTGCATGGAAGCTTTTCTAAAGATCAAGCAGGCCTTATCAGTGCACCTATAGTCCAAGCTCCAGATTGGACCCTGTCCTTTGAAGTTATGACCGATGCATCAGACTATGCTGTGGGAGCTGTTTTGGGACAAAAGAAGGATAAGAAGCTGCATGTCATATACTATGCAAGCAGGACTTTGGATTCGGCTCAGGAAAAGTATGCTATTACTGAGAAAGAGATGCTTGCCATAGTATTTTCCTTTTATAAGTTCAGAAGCTACTTGGTGGGTTCAAAAGTGGTGGTCCACACAGACCATGCAGCTCTTAGGTACTTAATGACAAAGAAGGATGCAAAGCCAAGGCTTTTGAGATGGGTGCTTCTCCTACAAGTGTTTGACATGGAAGTTCAAGATAAGAAGGGCATAGAAAATAGTGCAGCTGATCATCTTTCAAGGTTAAGAGTGGATTCTGAAGTCCCTGTGAATGATTCATTGCCTGAAGCGCAACTCATGGTGATCAAGTATTATTTGGAGATTGAGCAAGCTAACACCATCAGAGAAAGAAGTTTTCCTTGGTTTGCTGACATTGTTAACTATCTTTCTTGTGGTGTGGAGCCACCTGATTTGAATGCTTACCAAAGAAAGAGGTTTTTCAAAGAAGTGAAAAAATACTTTTGGGATGAGCCATACTTGTATGCACTCAACAAGGACCATTTGTATAGAAGATGTTTGGCTGATGAAGAAGTGCACCTGGTTCTACAAGAGTGCCACGGTTCAGCATATGGAGGGAATCTATGGGCTTTCAAAACTGTTGCTAAGGTTCTCCAATCAGGGTTATGGTGGCCTACAATGTTCAAGGATGCACAAAGTGTGGTTTCAAGCTGTGACTCTTGCCAAAGACAAGGTAACATCTCAAAAAGGAATGAAATGCCTCAGAATCCCATCTTTGAAGTTGAGGTATTTGACTGTTGGGGCATTGACTTCATGGGGCCATTCATATCTTCTCATGGGAATCAGTATATCTTAGTGGCTGTGGACTATGTGTCCAAATGGGTAGAGGCAATTGCTTGTCCTACAAATGACTCAAAGGTTGTGTGCAAGCTGTTTAAGAGCATCATCTTCCCAAGATTTGGCATACCAAGAGTAGTCATAAGTGATGGTGGTAATCATTTCATAAACGAACTTGGATGGGCTGCTTAGAAAGCATGGAGTCAAGCATAAAGTTGCCAGCCCTTACCACCCTCAGACTAGTGGCCAAGTGGAAGTGTCCAAAGGCAAATAAAAGCTATTCTAGAGAGAACTGTAAGCTCCTCAAGAAAAGAGTGGAACAAGAAGCTTGATGATGCACTTTGGACATATAGAACAGCCTTCAAGACACCCATAGGTACTTCACCTTTCAATCTGCTTTATGGGAAGAACTGCCACTTACCTGTTGAGCTAGAGTACAAGGCTCTATGGGCTGTTAAACTGCTGAATTTTGACATCAAGACTGCTCAAGAGAAGAGGCTTCTCCAGCTGCATGAGTTAGAAGAGATCAGTCTTGATGCTTATGAGAATGCAAGAATCTACAAAGAAAGGACCAAGACTTTATATGATGAGAAAATTCTGAAGAGAGAGTTCAAAGAAGGTGACTTGGTCCTCTTATTCAGCTCAAGGCTTAAACTGTTTCCTGGGAAACTGAGGTCAAGGTGGTTAGGTCCATTCAAGGTTCTTTAAGTGAGGAGTTATGGTGCTTTAGTTCTTGAAGGAAGAGATGGCAAAGGTTTTGTTGTTAATGGGCAGAGAGTCAAGCACTACTTGGTATCAAAACAGAGAGAGAAAGAGCTACCATAGTCTCTGTTGATGATCCCCAACCCAGTAATGGGTATGAAAAGTCAAACTTAGTGACATTAAATAAAGTGCTTTTGGGAGACATCCCAAGCTTATCCTTGTGCATACTTTTCTTTTGATCTTTCTTTTATGTTTATTTGGAATGTTTTGAGGGTTTTGTTAAGTGGTTTCAGGGTTTAGGAGACTATCTTGCATGATGGAATGACAGAAAAGGAGTTCGAATGAGCTTAAGTTGGCTGGCCTTGGATCTTAAATCAAACGGCTTACAACCTCGGCTTGAAAGCCTCGGTAAGGTTGTACCGAGGGTCTTCCACCGAACAAAAAGGCCAAAGCCTCCAGGTTTTACCTCGTGAAGGCTTATACCGAGGCTGTGAAGTTTATGGCCTGGAGACTAAGTGTTGAGCCGCCTCGGTATAAGACCTTCGGTACAAGATCAAGCCGAGGGTGCATGCGAATGAAAAGGTGATTCCCTCGGTCTCTTACCTCGGGAGGTGCTATACCGAGGTCCTGAGCATAAAGGCATGATTCTCTTAAATGGCTAAATGTTTGAAATTTACTTTGGTGAGAAAGCCTCGGTACAGATGCCCGAGGTACATTGTCCGAACAAAGGTTGCACCACCTCGACCAAACACCTCGGGTGGAGCTATACCGAGGTGTTGTGTTGCTTTGAAATTTTTTAAAACCTGGTTTGATGCTTCGAGGTGATAAAGGTCGAGGTGTTCTTCATATGGACCGAGGGAATACATTTCAAACCCAGAAATATGATCGTACCTCGGCATAAAGACTTCGGCATAAGCCATGCCGAGGTACCCATGTCAAGCCATGAACAAAAATGGCCATTTTGAAAGGTGGGGTCAAAAAGATTCTCTGGAGGTCAAGGGTCAAGATATTGACCACTCAAGATGCCTAAACCAATCAGACCATCCCTTTTCTTCAATCAGAGACAGCACCTTTACAGCCAAACCCGTGTTTGCTTTCTTCTCCTTTCACTTCACTTTAAAGCACCATATCTCTTTCCATCTCTGCACCAAATTGAGTGATTCTTGTTGCATTGAGCTCGTTTGGAAGTCTTTTTTCTTTCTGTCTAATTGCATTTCACTCGAACTCACTGATTCCCAAGGTATTTCATCCGAAATCATCATTGTTTTTCCTTGCTCTTTAATGGCAATGCTTGAGTTGTAAATTCTGGGAAAAATGGTTCTTGTTTGTTTTGTTCCTTGGGAATAATTTTAGAAATTATTTTGGGTTAGATAGAGTTTGAAGAACTTGATCTTGTACAGGAATTCACTGGTTCTTGAATTTTTAAAATTTTTTGAGAATATGAACCTCAAAATCGCTTTTGGTGGAAAATAATTTATTTCTTGAGTGAGTGTTTAGCACTGAGTTTAGGAATAGTTTCTAAACACTTCTTTATCACTCCTGACTTAAAGAATCATTTCCCATTGTTCTTGAAAGGAATTTTGGTTCTTCAATTTTTCTCATGAATTTTTGAAAATTTGGTGACTTTGATGCTATTTTCTTGGTACTCATTCTTTGTTTGAGATTTCTTCTTGCAGATGACTTCAAGAACAGCTGCTCTTGTCCAGAAAAAGGAAGCTGAGAAGAAGCAGAACAAAGGGAAGAGTGTGGCTCAAGCAAAATCTGGTGATGCAAGCAAAAATACCAAGAGCAATGGCAAGAAGAGAAATGGTGAACCAGCTGCCAAAAGAGCCAAGAATGATGAAATGGCTCTTGTTGTTGTGCCTGATCCAAAGGGAAAAGGCAAAGCTGTAGCTGTGATGTCTGACAATGAAGGGCAAGAAAGTGGAGCCGAGAGGGAATTGGTACTTGAGCCAACCACGAAAGCAAAGGAACCAGCCAAGCCGGCTGAGGAGAGACATCTGCAAAGAGAGATCACCGTGGAGCAGTTCAAGAGGCAGTTTGATAGGGCTACAGTGATTCAGGCACGGTTCCCTGATGAGGTGGTGATGAGAAGGCTGGGGATTTATGATGATGTGAAGCAGATTTTCAGTAATATGGGGTTAGAGGCTTTCTTTGACATGAAGGAGATTGCTCATGACAAGATCACCCAACAGTTTCTTTCAACCTTTGAAGCCTACAAGTACCCTTCAAGACATCCCAAGAGGCTTCAAGGCAATGGCTGTGGCTACATTGAATTTGTAGTGAATGGTGTTCAATATGAACTTGGTTACAAGGAGTTGAATGACATCTTTGGGTTCCCACAAAATGGTTTTGACGAGAAGTTCAAATATCACAAGAAAAAGATCAAACCTATTTGGGATACAATAGCATTTAGACCTTATTGTGGTGGGAAGAGCAAGACAAGCTCGATCAGAAATCCAGCCATCAGATATGCTTTTCAATGCTTGGCAAACATGTTCTTCACCACCTACAACACGGGGTCGTTCACGCTTGTGAGATGGAACTTCTGGGTCATGGTCTCAAGCCTTTCATCAAGCACACACGGAACAAGGAGGAGTACTATGGTCCTTATAGAGTGCCATGTCTTGGTGCTTTCTTGGGAACTCAGTTGCTGGCTTATAAGAGCAATGCATGGTGTGATAGAAGAAGGGTGAAGCCAAGGAGTTTGCAATGTGGGTGGTTAATCACCAAGATCTTGAAAGCTAAAGGGTTTGTATTCCTTGAATCTTGTGCAAAGCCTGGTTGCTTAAATGAGGCTTATCTTCTCAAGACAGGTTTCTTAGAGGGCAATGTTGGTGGTAGCCTGTGCTACAGCTTCAAACAGCTAGTTGATGACAATTTCAGAATCCTTCTTCCAAACCAGTCTATCACATCACTACAAGAGACAGGCAATGTCTCTTTCATTCTCCTAAAGGATCAGTTCTACAATTCTGAGATTCATCCACCAGTTGAGAGGAGCAAAACTTGTGACAAAACAGGTCCAAGTAGACCACAAGATAAGCCTCTTGATGTTGAGTCTGATGGTGATCAGCTCCAAAGACCCCCAAGGAGATATGGTGCAAACATCTACCATTTTTATCCAACTGTTTGGGGAACACCTGATTATCAGTGTCGCAAGCTGTATGAGAAAACAAGTGGGCTTCAGCAGTGGTGTAAGTGGCAGGACAAGACCATCCACAAGCTTGTTAACTGTGTGAGGCAACTCAAGAAGAAGGTCAAGAAGCTCACAGAACATGCTTCACCAGCAAAAGATTCGGCCACATCTCCAGCACCGGTTCATAGAGAAGAGATAGGAGAGAGTTCCACAGCTTGTGCACCAGAGTTGCCACCGGGTAAAGAAGCTTGGATTGATCCAGCAACAGCCTTTCTCCCTGAGTCACCAGAAAGCAACCCACCAAGGAGGCATCTCCATCATGTTCCACCTTTAAACCTTCATACTATGTGGGGTCTGACCTCAGTGATTAGGTACCATCTCCAAACCCTTTGTATATATGCATCTAGGTCTTGTTTTTCACTTTGCATTTTACTTGTTTTGTTTTGTACTCCTTTCTCATGCTTTTATAACACAAGGGGCTGTGTTATTTAAGTGTGGGGGAGGAGTTTTATGTTTGCTAATCATGTTTTTTTGATCTTATTTTCCATTTTGAGTCTTGAGTCTCATTCATTCATATACTTGCATCTAAGTGCATATAAAAAAAAAAATCTAAAAAATCTAAAAATAGAAAAAACTTTTCACAAAAAAATGTTCATTCTAGTTGCATTCACCTTTTTAGGATTGAGTCTAGTTGCATAATCATATAGGTTGCATCATTGCATGGGAGTAATGATAGATTTTTTCCTTGAGAGAACATCACTTTGAGAATTTAGTTCATGGCCCAAGTTGTTAGTTCTCTTATGCTTGCAAGACTTGAAAAGATTTGGATCTATGATACAAGCTTAAATTGAACTCAGCTCTAGCATGTGAAAACCTTAAACTTGATTTGGAAATATGATATATTCATAAATTGCATCATTTAATGTACATATTCTAGTCAAAATCATGTCTCATTTGCATGCATTTTAGGTCTTTAGGCATTGTTTTAGGACTTAGGAGATTGCATTAGGTCCAAGAGAGTTTTGCATGTTTTGGAGTGTTAAACAGGTGCTTTTGGAGCCAATTTGGAGTGGATGATGTGATTCAGATGAAGAAATGGAGTTGGAATGATCAAAAATGGTGAAAAGGAGCAATTTTGGGTTTCTCGGCAAAATGGTGTACTGAAGGTCGAAGGTTCTCGACCAAAATCCTTCCCGCGGGTAGCTTTCTCGGCCAAAAACACGTACCGCGGTCAAGTCTCTCGGCCAAAATCTCCGGGTGCAGACACGTTTCCGAAATCGCCTGTCCGGGGAACCTTCCGGTCAGATTTAGCTGTCGGAGTCTTCATAAAAGTTGGAGATAATTGCGTCAAGAGTTCTTAACAGTTGGAATCAAGGAATTTGGACCACGGAGCTGAAAGATATGGTAATCGTAAGACGAACAGGTCTCGCACTCATTCCAGAGCAATCCGATATTCCTGAATGATCGCCTGTCCGGGGAACCTTCCGGTCCGATTCAGATGTCGGGTGCTTCATAGAAGTTGGAGAGGATTCGATCACGGTCTCATAGCAAGCGGAATCGTGGAATTCGGACGCGTGAGCAGAGAGTTAAGCTCGTCGGAAGGAACCCCTGTCTCGCAGCTGTTCCGGACCAAGCAGATCAGTTCTGAAGAATGCGAAGGACGGTGTACTTCCAGGCCGGTTCAGTTTCCGGGGTCTTTATGAGAATCAGAGACAATTGAGTCTTCTTTCCAGAACGTCCAAGAGCATTCGATTCGGAGCTATGAGCAGGAAGATACGGTCTCCGGAATGGACACATGTCTAGACGCCTCTCTCTGGTCGTGTAAATGCACTGCAAAGATGTGCCCTCCAGGAAGCCTTCCACTTCCAAA